AAGAGTGGTTATTATTTGGGACATTCATATTATTAATTTCATTTAACATCACAACCTATGTTGTTATTTATATTTATGGAGAGGTAGACTTATAGAATATATGTAATTTGTCCAAGGACACAGGCCGATCACTTTAGAGGAAGCATATTATTACAGCAGATTCATGAAAATATTTCTTAAGTATCTATACAAATATTAGCTATAATTATATATTTTTGAAAACTGTTCTTTCAGTTCACTTAGAATTAATTCCTGTAATTGCTACATCAGTGATTCCTTAGTGTTCTATGAAGAAGGTTGCTTATTGGAGCATCTGGGTGGCTCAGGTCATGATCTCATGGTTTGTGAGTTTGAGCCCCACATTGGGCTCTGTGCTTACATTGCAGACAGTATTCTCTCTCCCCCTTTCTCTCTGCTCCTTCCTCTCTCTCTCTCTCTCTCTCTCACTCTCTCTTAAAATAAATAAGTAAACATTTTAAAAATCTGCTCTTTAAAGAAAAAAAATGTTGTTTTTTAGTCACTTTATTAACTTACCTTCTGCTCTTCTTCATCTCTCCAGTGACAATGGAGGATTCATTCTTTCTTGTATCCAAGGCAGATCCTTTCATTATGAAAACAGTATTTTCTCTCCATCTCCTCCATGACCTCAATATAATTCACTTTCTTATAAATCTTTCCTGAGTTTTCTAAATCCCTCTTTCTACGGAGACATTTTACAGTATATTTAGGGATTCTCATCTCAGAATAAGTCAATAACCGTATAAGCAACATTCCCTAGATTGACTTCTGCTACTACCTGATCTCTATTCATTCATCTAAATGTAAGCTTCTAACAAGATTTTCCTATAAATTTATATTCATTTACATATTTCTCATTCACATTTTCTTCTCATCTAGCCTCCTGTCTGACCTACCCCTTCAAAAACACTCATGCCAACTTTATGATGACTAACCAGTTACCTTGTCCTCATCAAATGAATACTCCTCATTTCTCAAGATGTTTTATTTCAGCCACATTAAACCCAGTGCATCACTGCCATCTTTCAAAACAACTTTATTGAAGTATAAATAACACACAATAAAGTACATATTTTTAAATTACTAAATTTGGAAAGTTTTGGCATATGTAATGTGTAGGCATGCAGAACGTCACAGTAATCATGATAATGCATATATCCATCATGTCTATATGTCTCTGTCTCTGCCTTTATATTTCCTTCTTCCCATTCATTTTTCCTTGCACCAACACTCACACCTGCCTTCCATTCCCAAGATAACAATGATATGCTGTCACAATAAGTTTTTATTTTCTAAGGTAAGGTATACATAAAATTATACAATATGTCTTATTTTGTATGCCTTCTTTCATTCAGCATGTTTATTTTGAGATTTTCCTATGTGAAATATATATCAATATTTCAATTTATTTCATTCTGAATACTGTTCCATGATAATAGATAATACCACAGTTTGTTTATTTGCATATAAATGGATATCTGAGTTATTTCCAGTTTTGAAATGTTACAAATAGAACTGCTGTAAACAGCCTTTTAAAGTCTTTATATATTGGGGTGCCTGGGTGGCTCAGTTGGTCAACCTCAGTCATGATCTCATGGTTCGTGAGTTCAAGCCCCATATCAGGCTGTGCACTGATGGCATGAAGCCTCCTTGGGATTCTGCCTCACCTTCTCTTTGCCCCTCCCCTGCTTGTGCTCTATCTCTCAAAATAAATAAATAAACTTTAAAAAATAAATTTAAAAAATTAAGTCTTTATATAGGCCTATCCTTTTATTTCTCCTGGGTAAATACCCAAAGTTGAATGGCTTCCTCATATAGTAGTTGAATGCTTAACTTTATAATACACTGCCAAACTGTTTTCTAAAGAAACTGTAGTATTTTTACATTCCTACCAACAGAGTAGAAGAATTCCAGTGTCTTGGGGTGCCTTGGTGGCTCAGTCAGTTAGGCCTCTGACTTTGGCTCAGGTCATGATCTCATGGTCGTGAGTTGAAGCCCTGCATCAGACTCTGTGCTGACAGCTAGCTCAGAGCCTGGAGCCTACTTCTGATTCTGTGTCTCCCCCTCTCTCTGACCCTCCCTTGCTCAAGCTGTCTCTCTCTCAGAAATAAATAAAAACATTAAAAAAAAAAACAAAAGAATTCCAGTGTCTTTACATCCTCACTACTCCTTAGTGTGGTCAGTCTTCTTAGTTAGTCTTTTTTACTGTGTTATGGTATCTCATATGGTAATCTTAACTTACATTTTCTGAATGAATAATGATATATTATTATATCTATAAGCTTATTTTCCATCTATATGCCTTTTTGATTGAGTTTTTGTTCAAATATTGTACCATTTTAAAATTTTCTTTTTTTCTTATTACTGAATTTTGAATATTTGTTACACATTCTTTATATATGTTAACTGCAAATACTTAACTCACAGGCCATAGCTTTTCTTTTTACTACCTCACGCTGTCTTTTGAATAGAAACTTTTTCAAATCTTTATGAAGTACAGTTTTTCAATTTGTTCTCTATAGATCACCCTTTCTGTGTTTTATCTAGGAAATCTTTGCCTAATCCACAATGACAAAGATTTTCTCCAAACTCAAAAAACAACATTGAAATTAAACCTGAAGTAACACATACAATCCAATTTTAATCACACAAAGGGAAAAAAAAAGAGTAAACAAAATAAACAGGACCTCAGTAATATTGGAATAGTCTAACATATGTGTACATATGTGTGACTGAATTCAGAGTAGGGTAGAGACAGAAAGATAAAAAAACAGATGATAGTATTTAAGGAAATAATTGCCAGAATTTTTCACACTTTTTTTGAAAGCATAACCCACAGATCCGCAAAGTTCAGTGAAACACAACAAAAGATAAATAGGAAGAAGTCAGTTCAGGGCACATGAGCAGAAATAAAAAATGGAAAAAAAAAATCAGACTATGAGTGGGGAAAAGAACCACTTTAGGTACAGGGGAACAAGACAGGAATCATGGATTTCTTGTAAGAGTCTAAGCAAATTAAAATAAAATGGAAGAGCATCCTTAAGTGTTTAAAGAGCAGACCTTTCAACTTAGCATTCTATAATTAGCAAAAAATAACTTTCAAAACAAAGACAATACATTTTAAACAAGCAAAAGCTGAGAGCATGAATTTGCAGGTGTGCTATGGTAGAAATGTTAAACTATTCACACAGAAATCAATGTTACTAGATCAAAAACTAAAGTGTCACCAGAGAGGATGTTTTAAATGCTGGAAGTGATAAATATGGGATCAAAAAATAATTTCTTCACTTCACTGTCCTTAAATGATAATGGATTATTTATAATAGAAACAATAACAGTATATTATGGGGTTTGTAACATGAAGGTAAAATGTACAACAGTAGCACAAATGATTGGAAAACAGAAATAAAATGTTATTTTATCATGCTTGAATTATATATGAAGTAGTTTTATATTATTTTAATATGGAATGCTATGTATAATATGTACGTGCGTGTGTATATGTATGTGTGTTTATAACCACCTCAAAAAATCAGTGACATAAGGCCAGTAAGACACTTGTGGGGATAAAAAAGAGATACAGAAATGAGTATTCCTAATTAATTTAAATGCTGGGAGGAAAAGAAGAAAAAGGTAAAAGTAGTGATGAAACAAAGTACAAATAAAATGAGAGATTTCAACCGAACCACATAATAATGAATATGAATGACTCAAACACTCTAAATAAAAGGTATTGTTCTATCAATAAGATAGAAGATATTGGTAATTGTCCATCAACATGAATAGATTAATATTTACAGAAAATTCACTCAAGAAGATCCCATGCTCTCTTTTCAAAGGCATATCATATTTTCACCAAGTTAGACTCTATGAGATCATTTTCAATAAATTAAAAATGATTAAAATCATATGGAATATGTTTCCTGACCACAAAGAAAAGAATCAAATTGAAAGTATTAATGACCATAAAGTATATATTTGTCATTCAGATTACTGGAATTAATTTTGTTTCTTAGATGATTCTATATAAATCAAAATTGAAATAATAAAATACATCATTAAATTCAATTATATGGAAAAGTGAAAAAGTCTAAAAGTCAGGAAATTTTATTAAGCATTATTAGAATTCACCAAAAAAGTATCCCATATTAATAAATAAAATATGAAATGGTAAATTACATGTAATATGTTTTTTATATTCCTGTTACAAGTGTTGTATACCAGTTAAGACCTTAGACACTGAAGTCAGATTATCTGATTCTTAATGTTATTGTGAGCTAAATAAACTGCTTAATCCACCCGGTCGTCTGTTTTTTTGTTTTTGTTTTTGTTTTTTTTTTCATTTGTAAAATGATATTTACAACTACTTTTATCCTGAGGTTCTTTCTACAATTAAAATGAAATAATCCCTCTGCTCTGCCTGCTGTTGATTGGAATATAGTTGATACCTGTATAAATATATTCTATTAGTAGTCACAAAGTAGCAGCAGTGTTAGTAGTAGAAATGTGCTAATATAGCCATATTATTACCATTTGTATACAATTTATAGGCTAGTAAATGTCTCTAATAATAATGCTTTCCTGTTAGGTTCATATTTTTAATGAGTGCAATTTTCTCTTGGCTTTTGCTTTCTATTGAATTTCTTCTTTCATTCATTTATATATATATACATATATATGTGTATGTATATATACATATATATATACATATATATCCCCCTTAATGTGCAGACCATATATTAGATACCTGAGATATAAAGATGAAAAAACCAGCATGGTTTCTGTCATCAAAGAACGTACAGTATGGGGTGGAGGGGGTTAAGTAACAAGCAAATAGATACATACTCACATAATATAAGGTTGCCGTATGTGCTCTGAAGGAAGCAACAAAAGTGCATTGTTTGAAAATGACTGAGGAAAGGGAATGACCTAATTTGGAATAGAATCATCAGTGTAGACTTCTCATTGGAAATGCTGTTTAATCTGAGGCTGAGAATAGAAGATGGACATGGGGGACTTTTAAGGCACATGGAGGTTGCGTGGCACTCTAGGACAGCAAATATTAATGCTGCTTGAGGGAGAAAATTCAGTTCAGATATTTTGGAGGTAGGAGATAAGATTGGTATCTAATACACTAGGAGTCACAGTGTCACTACAAGGTATCTAAACCTTTGGAATGGATTTTGGAAAAAGACATCTGAGTGACATGGGCAGTGCACTGATGAACTCTCACTTCTTGGGATCTGAAAGAAAACAGAAACGAAACTGGTTAAGATAAGGCAGAAGAAGCAGAAGAAAGGATAAATAGCCACTATTGTGCAGGAAAAAATACTAGGAACATATAAAAGACATATAAAAACATATTTTTTTCTGAGAAATACAAATTAGAATCTTTAATTTCTTGATTTATTTATAGTACAGGTATGTATATATGGCTTCAAGATGAATAATTTACCTTTTGATATTTCTTTGATTCACTGATTAAAATTTTATTTTTCCTAGTTTTTAATTTTCTGCCTTGTCACTGTAATCCTTATTTCTGTCTTCAGTAGTCATCTCTATCAAGATGACTCCATTTCTGTTTTCCTAAAGTTTTTCTCACTGCCAAAGTGGAAATTCTAACAGCCTACTTGGTGTCTCTAACACATAAACACACATGAAAATAAAGTGGTGAAAGCAGTGTTTTACATCAGGCAGATAATTTAGCATAAGAACTTCTTAACAAGTTAAAAGTTTATTTAGATGCTTAATTTAATTTCAAAGTACTCTTGGGTAATCATTCTGAGCTCTAATAAGGTAAAGTGTTTATATAGTTAGTTTAGCTGGTTAGCCTAGAGTGATCAATTCACTTTTGTGTCTTCACATTAGACAATATATATATATGTATATTTTGCATAAGTTATTTCTAAAAATCACCTTTCTCCAGGCTTCTTAGTATATGCCTTCTGTTACTGTTATGATGATGGATCTATGTGCTTACTGTGAATTTTCCCTGTGAAAAATTCCCTGTGAATTTTTACTGCTAGCTAGTTTGCTTCATACCTTGGCAGTTTTTCATAAAATACTGTTTCCCTGACCACAATATCCAGTTGTTTCCATAACTTTTCCATTCCCATAATCGCTTCTCAGCAACCACTTTATTTTGGACAAATTGTCTTACAAATAAATTTTTATTGTCAAATGTCATAAAAAATTGCATTGTATATAAGCTCAGTTGTAATCAAGTTTCTAAATAATACACACATTATTAGTGGTCTGAGATTACCTTAATGCATTATAATGATATTAATTTCAATGAAATTGTTATTTGCTTATAATATCCATTGATTTTTCAGGTGATAATCTGAATATCTTTTTTCAGCTTCAAATGAAATATGTATAAAACACAGCATACCATCCTACTTTGTTCCCATCCATTCCCACACATAAACAATTCTGGAATTCTTTATTTTCATTACTTTTGAATGAAATCCTTATTATCCTGGAAAAATTTTCTTTGTTTCTCCTCCAACATACATTCAGTTTCTGATTCAAGAGTGTAGGTTCTTTCCACAGTTCTCAAGTAAATCATTCTAAAAACCAATTCTAATCATTCTCCTGCATGGAAAAAAGAATGAAAATAAAAATTGAATAAGGAATTCATTTGACCTTTCTGCATGGCTTCTCGTACAGATTTTCCAATTCCCGTATAGATTAAACTGCCTCATCCACAGCCTGTTTACATTTCTATTACAGTTGATGGACCCTTCCTTGTAACGGGAAGAGACAGTGTTACTACTTGTCTTATATGAACAATAAATGGACGTTCACAGGCTTTCGAGTGACTAGTGAACTAATTCTATCATCAAAAGTAACGCAGCTAACTTTTCTACACATTGTGAGGGAAAATAAAAATACTACATTTGTGTCTATAAAATCTTTTTTTGTTTCCCTAAAAAACTTAATTTATAGTCCAAATATATGAGCGAGGTATTTATTATTTCATCTTGTAGCTACCTCATGTAGTCAGTGGTTATATTATGAATATTGGATGGATTTTGGATGGTTTTAGGGATGGGACACGGAAGTAGTAAACCTTAAAGAGGGAAAAGCTCAAATTAGATGGTCCTAAAAAGACAAAACTAGTGTATTTAATAAAAAGGCAAAGTAGAGTTTTAGCGAGAAAGAATTCATTTAAGAGTGAGCTCCCATGAATTCTGGCAGGTTTTGATTTTACCCTCCCATTAGTATCCTTGAAAATAAGCCCCCATGTTCTCAAGGAGACACTAATAGTCTTCCTATTAGTCCCTAATGTATATCGTCACCCAGTTGACTTTGTGGCTCATTATTTGCTCTGTTGAATCTAATGGCAATTAGTTCCCATAACATGTTTAACACTTTTCATTATTCTTTTTTGCTTACGTTATTTATTTCAAATTAACATTCCTCCATTATTTGGTAAATATCTGTACCCTTCAAAATACATCTCAACTTTCACTTCCTTTATGAGTAGATCACCATACAATTCATCCTCCAAATCAGTGTATCTGACAGTGAGAAAAGGTATCACTAATAATACTGGTATGGTAACCACCTTAGTGATGATGTATACCCTGATAAACTTATAACCCTACCCCATTGCCATGTAGTTGACATTTTTAAACTCTTTGAGCCCTCACAATATGTGAAAAAGCTATGCTATGTGATTTAGCTTTGCAATTGAAAGATAAAGTGTTAACTATAATTAAAAAAGCACTTGCATTTTTCTCAGTATAGGTGCCAGAACAAGTTCATCTTGATACAAATAGAGTTGAATCATGTAATATTTTATATCTTAATTACTTGTTCCTGAACAATACAACAGTAGAGACTCATTTTCTCAGGTCAGTACCGAAATAAAAAGGGGAATAAAAATTTATATGGCTGTTTTCCAACTCTCACAAATTTTGCCTGAATATAATGACCTTCGGAGATGTTCCCTAAAATATCATGCCTTTCTCTTATTCATATAAAACTTTAGCAAAAGTGAGATCTGATGGTATAGTTTTCTATGTAACTCTTCTGGTTCTAAAATTTTTAAATATGTCTACACTGTTATGACTTTTTATTAATATTGCAAGAATAATTATTAATTATTAAATAATCTAGATAATGTTCAGTATTTGGGGAGGATATTTTTGATGGTTTTGACATGGGTATATATTTCATTTGGGTATATATTTCATTTGCAGTTGATAATTTAACATGTACAGATAAGAAATAGAGTTTGTAAAATACCTCATTATGGAAAGCATTTTCACAAATCCAGAAGTTATACTAATGCTAGAATAATAATAAATATAACCTTATGTTGTCTTTTAAATATGTGAAATATATTTCTAGAGCACATAATTTAAAGGAGAACTGAATTTAAAATATGAAATGGAAGCAACATTTAAAAATATACAGAAACTTATTTTTGAAAGTTTAGTATGATTATAAAATGTCAAAATACTTCCAAAACCAAAAAACTAAGTATCCATTCATATATTATTGAATATTTTGGTTGACTTTTAAAAACTCAGTAAGATACATAAAAGTATTGTGGATTTAAATATTTGTATATAATATAATTAAAAAATATTTTCATAGGCACAGCTCAAGAATGAAGCCCCTGTGACTTTAGGAATATGTGTAAACATACATTAAGTGATGGATCCACTTAAGTGATAAGATTTTGAGCATATGACACAGTGATCATTGTCACTGAAGTGGAGAGCTATGTACTCATTAATCAATTTTATTCCCAACTAATGTTTTCACATATATAGCCAGAGTATTTTACGAAAATAAGGTATAAAATATTTTACAAAAAGTATTTTGTCCTGAAGAACACATGTTAACAATTTTTCTGAACAATACATAAGTAAGTGGCCTAGGCTCAAAACTTCTGTAAAATTCTAGGTTAAGAAAAGATCTTTAAAAGTTTATCTTCTATACATATTCTTAGTTTCTTTAATTCCTATGAGGGTTTATATTTTGCTGTTTATCTTTTTTGACTTTTTTCCTCTGAAACATTTACTAATAACACACAGAACACAATGTGAGAAATGTGGACATGATAAAATTCTTAACAAAAGATGTTGGTCCATGGCCAATATAAAATAATGACATTGGTCCATGGCCAATATAAAATAATGAAGGGAGTGCTAAACAGTATTCTTGTAGTGTAAAATTATATCTCACGGTGAAATCCCATGCTAAACCTTTCATATACTTAAAAAAGAAACAAAACAATCCTACCTGCTTATAAAATATCCACTGGTTGATACTAAGTCATATCAAAGTTTGGTTCTTCTTGATAAAATTTTATGAACAGAATACTTAAAGAAACACAGAGTCATTTTTTTAAAAGATATGTTTGGTATTTTAATATTTGTGGAGTGGTATAGACTGCATCAAGACTGTGTCTCATCAAGAATACTGAATACTGAAGAATAGTTAAGCTATTACAACTTTATGCTCAGGGACTCATACACAACTGTGAGTGTGACTAGGGAAGATTTCCACAACTCCTTAAAACTGCTGATCATTGTAAATAATCAACACAATACAAATATATATAATAAGTAAGTCTGGTTTTAAAAGGTGAGGGGATGCCTTTTTATTAATTCTTATTTAATTGTATTAGTTCTAAATGTCTGTCTTAAAGCTGAGAAATCTAATTCAATGTTTGACCATAGTTTCACCTTAAAAATCCATATTCAGTATTTTTTTTTTCTAATCCCGAGAATGGTGATGCTAGTGATAGTAATAATACTAGTGTTGTTCATAATTATCAACACTTATTTTTCCCTCTACACTGACACTTTTCTAGTTAGTGTTTCTAGATCTACACTTTCAGAATATATATATATATGACTTTAACTATCACTTGTACTCTGATAATGAAACAAACTGCACTGTTACTTGTTATCTCTAATCTGAACTATAAAGCATTTTTCAAAGGGTTTAAATACCTTCCACTCAGATTTCTACATGCAGTGGTCACATGAAATAAGCACAGGAATTTCATTCAGAAAACAAGTGAATGATCTTTATCTTACTTATGCTGTCAATTTGTGAAGTGTAGCTACTTAGTTACAGTGAGTTAGATAAAATAAGATATCAAACACATGTGCCTGGGGCATCTGGGTGACTCACTTGGTTAAGCATCTGACTTGATTTCACCTCAGGCCATGATGTCATGGTTTGTGAGATCAAGCCCCATGTTGGGCTCTGCAGTGATAGCAAGGCACCTGTTTGGGATTCTCTGTCACCCTCTCTCTCTCTGCACCCTCCCCTGCTTGCATCTGCACTTTCTCTCTCACTCTCTCTCAAAATTAATAAGTAAACATTAAAAAAAAGTAGATGTGCCTGAGAGTTTTCTGTACATATTGTGCAGTTTACAGAATTCTAAAAAACGTTCATATTTTTCTCATATTTCTTTTCTATTTTCAGTATCATTGAGTTTCTTGTCAGTATAATTAAGTTTCTTTATCATCCATTAGTCTTTGTCCTCCTTGCTTCCCATCTCTTCAATTTTACACCAGGAGTTTAATTTTTTATTTATTCCCTATTTGAGTATTGTAGTATAGGTATCCATTATCGCTTTCTAAGTAACAAGTGGGTTTTTTTCCCCCTTAAATTTCCTATTTATGTTACTGGCAAAGATATTTCCTAGTCACCCAAATTAGAAATTATCTTTTGACTTATTTTAAAATTGTACTTTTTATTTTTTTTTAATTTAGTGGCTCTAATCCCTGCCTGTACTTAAGAAACTTAAAACAGAGAAACAAAAAGCACAAAGTGATGCTAAGTGAGTCAGCTCTAAGACAAATACTGTATGATTCCACTTACATGAGGTGACTGAATTAGTCAAATTCATACTGATGCCAGGTAGAATGGTGGTTAGCCCAGAGTGAAGGAGGGAGAAATTGGGAGTAATTATTTAATGGGCACAGAACTGTAATGTTGCAATATGGAAGGGGTTTGAGAAATGGATGGCCATGATGATTACACGACAGTGTGAGTGTGCAGCATAGGTGTGTTGTACGACAATGTGACAATGCTGCTGATCTGTACGCTTCAAAATGATAAGACAGTAAATGTTATGTTCTGTGTATTTTAACACAATTAAAAATGAAAATAATAATGTGTAAGATTAAATTATGGACTTTTTACCTGTACCCCAAAGGAACCCCAATCTATTGAATTACTCATTTTGAAGGAATTATAATAAAAACTTCTTAAAGATGAAAAAAAATGGAAACCAAACCAAACAAAACCAAACCAAACAAAAAAACAACAACAATTTCCAGAACCCCATTCAAAGCAATTAAGTCAAATTCTCGGTGGTGGTGGTCAGGGCATCAATAAGTACTAAATGTCTCCAGGTATTCATTATGCAATCAGGATTGGGAGACACTACTTAGCCTCTTTCACTTCTGTTTCCCTGTATGCACATTCAGATATAAAGTCCTATAAAGTCCTATGAACTGAGTGTATTTTCCATTGGATTAAGAAATTCTACAATAACAATATTATCAGCTGCTTTAGTGCCTGAAATATAGATGTTGCTCAATTAATACTAAGTCATG